TTATATAAAATTAAAAATTGTAGTTTTTAATTTAGCTACGTGTGTGTGTGTGTTGTTTATGTTTGTGCATGTGAAATCATCCACAATCTGTTGGTGATGTTTTAAAGCTGCAGTTTAAAAATGTTCAACCCTTACCAAAACCTCTTCTGGTATACAAAGCTGTTGTAAATTCGAGTCAGCAAAATTTAAAGTTGCAATTTACAAAAGCAGATTTACATGAATTCTTATCTGAAAGAGCTGCTTTCAAGACAGAAAAATGTGCCAGTTAACTGCCCTTTCCTTTATAATTAGTGGCTTCTGAGTCCTGATGAAGAGAAGCCTTAAGGCAGAATTTGCAGTAAACAGGAAAGAAGAGAATCATATGAGTGCTCATCTTTAGTCTGGGACGGGACACCTATGAATTCTCGTCAGTGGGAGTTTTTTGGCACAATTTTCTAATCCAATATGAACGTTGTTCCCCAGCAGCCAAACTGGATGCGTTTTCCGGTCTCCAGCACCAAGAAAATTTAGCTGATCAATTTCAATACAACTCATACCTGGAAAGAGTAAGACGCATTTATTGTCTTTTGTTTTTTTTTTTTCTCCTTTTAGACATAAGGTAGTTTCCAATGATTGAAATAAATTGTAGGATTTCAGTTATTATGTTCAAATAAACTCTGAAGCTAAAAATGTAATGACCATGACATTCCAATAGTTACTAAAATGTAGGCATAATTAACATCCTGTCGGGGTGACTCGTAATTATTTGGGCTTGTCATGCCGTAATATGTACATGGCTATGGATACTATACAGAGTAATTAAAAGCTGATTTCAAATCTCTAGTTTTTCTTCTTATGTGGGGCAAGCTTCCAATCACACCAGCAAAGATTCTGAGCACTTACGGGGGCAACCGAAGTTGCAGATGGGAGGTTCTGCTATTTAGAATTCATCTATGAACGACGATGTTATCTTTCATCACAATTAACAGAAAATACTCCTATGTCAGACCTAAACCGAAAGGGTCCATGATGGGTTGTACAGAATCTCCATTTTCATCGCTATTAGAAGAACAGGAAAAAAATCAGGTCGTATTAAATTCACTTTAAACCAGGTCCTAGGGCGAATCTTCTAAAAAGGCAATGGCTCTTTTGGCATGGAGTGCTTTCTGCCTGCAGTTCCGTGAGTTCGCAAATGCATGTCTCCATTAAAAGTCTACTGGTAAGCTGTATCGCTACATACACACTGTACATGTTGGTTCACAAATTAGCAGTTATTAGTCAGACTGTACATAGCAAAACAAACCAAAGTTAATGTTGCTATACATCCCAAAGATAATCTGTTTCTACATTCAAGGACTAACCCCTAATACAGGTTCCCTGTTTAAATATGTAGCCCAGTAAACTAAATTAAATGTACCAAACAAAACTGGGAAAACTATTCTAGACATTCTGTCAATTTTGCTAACACTGTTGAAGGTTTTCTTGGCTTCAGCTGGCTTGTTTTCCGGTTTCTTGTTCGGTTCTGGCGTGGTTGCACTCTTGGAGATGGTCGAGAGAACTGGATCTTTTGAAAGATTCGGGGCATAATTCGCAACGGCCACTGCGTAAGCATTGTTCTGTATCGTGACAGAGGCTTTCTCTTTTTTCTGTTCAAAAATATACAAGAATTAACAGAGTGTGGGGTGAGCTGACTACTTAACATTTTCCAAACTCCAGTTCAAATTCTGAAGGAAAGTATCCTGATACACGTCATTATCCATTAGAAAAAAAGGAATTTAGGAAAATAAATGCATTTATTAAATCCTAAAACCACTAGGGTGAGGAAACCCCCCAAGTAAAACCAATGAAATCATTTTTTGTTGTTTACATGGAAAATAAACAATAGAAAAAGACAACTTTAATAAACAGTGTTAACTTTTTTTCCTCTTAGGAGTCACTCAAATGTTTGTTGAATGAATGAGTGAATAAGTAAAATTTAGAACTATTTGAATAAGAGAAATGATCGTCTACAATGAATGATCTCAAATGTCTAACTTGGTAACAGGATTCCTTCCCATCTGATGTTAAAAACATACAGCAGTGGTCACTCAGATGGTGGGAAATTATAACTTTATGTAGATGGCAGTGTAACAAATATTAAAACATAGAAAAAGAATGAAATACAAACTCTTGGATTTTTGCCTAGCTCACCCCCAAACCGTTTCAGGTTACAAGGTCCAGTTCAGTTATCACAAACTCTCATCTGGGTCACTATTATCTCCTGCCTGACCAAGCACTACTCCTTTGTGCTCTCTTCCTCTTCCAATCATCAGACACACCATAGCCACAGAGATCTTTTATAGACATAAATTGGTTCACGGCACTCCTATGCTTAAATCTCTTAGCCACTATTTCATGGAACTTAGACTGAAAAAACGTTTCTTACCATGGCTTCTTTCCCTTGCTCATTACACACCACTGGCCCCACTGAAATAACTTCAATTTTCAAAATACTTCTTTGCTTTGGAGCCATGCTTTTGGCCACGACAGTTTCCCGGCCCGGAATGCCCCAGCCCGGAATGGCTGGAATGGCTTCTTCCCATCCCATTTTTCACATGACCAATTCCCTTTCATAGTTTGATCTTGGTTTAAACGTTACTTCTTCTGAAAGGCTTTCCCGAACCACTCTATCTCGTATCTTTCTCCCCATATCCACTCTTTCATAGCACCCACATTTGTTTCCATCGTGGCATTTTTCAAAATG